CCCGCGGCTCAGCGCCTGCCGCAGGGGGCCCAGGCATCCGGGAAGGGGCACGCAGAGCGCAGGGCACAGTCAGCACGGAGGGAGGGAGGGGACTTTATTGGGGTCACAGGGTTTGCGCGGCCACCGGGTAGAGCAGGGAGAGGTGGCGGGCGCCGCGCACGGGCAGCGCCCGCGCCGAGTAGTGCCGCACGGCGGCGGGCACCGAGGGGAAGGCGGCGCCCGCGCGGCCCAGCACGAAGAGCCGGTCCCGCGTGCGCGTCAGCTTCACGTGCACGAAGCCCTGGCTGCTCCTGCGTGGAGGGGGACGCTGAGCGGGGCGGCCTCGGCGCCGCCACCGCCCCGTGTCCCCTCCCCGTGTCCCCACCGACCTCAGCGAGAGCGAATAGTCCTCGGGGCTGGTCTCGCAGTCCCGCACGAGGAAGCTGCCCTCGCGGCACAGGGCCAGCAGCGTCTCGGCGCCCGCGCGCCCGATGGCGCCGTGGTACCACCTGCGGGCAGCCCGGTGGCACCCCGGTGTCACCATGGGCACCAGGTGGACGAGGGCACCGGGGCTCCAGCTGTGCCATGGGGCTCCGGGTATGCCCTGGGGACCCGTCTGCGCAGTGTGGACCCTTCCATGCCATGGGGACACATCTGCACCTTGGGCACCAGCCTGTGCCACAGCCTAGGCCATGGGGCACCCACTGAGCCATGGGGACCTGTCTGTGCCATGGGGCACCCTCCACCCCACGGGGACCTATCTGCACCACGGAGCACCCTCAGATCCCCCTGTGTGCCATGGGGCACCCACTGTGCCATGGGGACCTGTCCATGCTATGGGGCACCCTCCATCCCATGGGGCACCTACCACCCCATGGGAACCTACCCGCACCCCAAGACCCCCTCCCATGGGGCGCCCTCCACGCCGCAATGCCATGGGGACCCATCTGCACCATGGAGCACCCTCTGCACCCCGGGATCCCCCTGTGCGCCATGGGGCACCCACTGAGCCGTGGGGACCTGTCCGTGCCATGGGGCAGCC